ACACCTCAAGCTTAGTATATATCTATATTTGATCTTAAAAAGATATTTTTTTTCTATCTTGATGGCAAATTATTTTAAGTTCGGGTGATTTAAATACACGAGTGGAAATTGCATTGAAATATTTTGTATTGCTAATTGGAAAATTTGCCAGATATAGGTAAATGAAAAACATATACGTTCTTCTGTGTCTTTATGAAAGTTTCTAAAAAGCATCAGAATATGTAAAAAAAATTTCTTTGTTCTTAAGGAAATTGAATTTTTATGAGAATTTTTTTTTCTGATTGAACAAATTCTGCAACTTGGAATCGTTAAACAGGGTTTTTCTCCCTTCTTAAAATAAAAGTTCTTTAAATCACGAAATTCCTTAGATATATGTTCCTTAAATCCTGTTCAGATGCCCCATGACCATTTCATTCAATATTATGTAACAGAATATGTATTTTGAAGCTTGATTTTTTTGAAGCTCACAAGCTTGCTTATCAGAGTATTTATTTAAAAGTTGTTTTAAATTCATTACATTATAGTGACTTTTTTTAGGCATACTAAGAACGATAAAAAAATGTTGTTTTATAGTTGCTTCTTTCAGAGATTTTGAATTAAATTTTTTAAAACATACTTTGTTTGTCGCCTATGTTTACTGAATGAATATATTATGTTCAATTGTCCATGAAAAGCAAAGTTAAAAACTTAAGCAGGATATAAATTAGTATTTTTATTATCTACACAATTTAGGAGCTCAGTATGCTCTCTTTGGAAAATTAACTTATGGAATTTTAAAAAGAGAAATAAATTGCTATAAATTAGTTTTTATTTCCTACAAATTAGCAAATTGGTCTTTTTTTCTGCGCAGGAATATATAAATATGAGAATAATTTTCAGGAATATATAAATATGAATACTTAATATTAAATTATTATAATTATTATACATTCATCGATATGAATACATAAATATTAAACGCATAATGACTCAATTTCATGTTAAATAACAAATCGTCTGTCCATGTTTTGATCA